TTCCTGCTTGAAGAGTGGACGCGGGATTCTGCCTCTAGAAAAAAATAAAAGTAAAAATAAGAAGTAATCAAAGGAACAAGTATAATTTACCACTGCCGTTTCGAATCAGTTTAAGAGGTACCAAGCCGTCAACCATGAGAGTGAACCCAAGCCCACAACAATTTGTTTCGGGCTACAAGTCCATAATAATTTGATCCATCAAAAGAATCAAAGATCCGGTTATTCACTAACGTTACCTAGCCTAATAAAAATTGAAGTAAATCGGACCCATTAGGGTTTCTTAGGGTATATTAAGCGAACTTGCAAACTTCCTGGGTTTTCGTTTGGTTCGCGTGCGTGTGTCAAATTAGGGCTTCAGCCTTCAAGAGCTACGTGAGAAACAGAGAGCAGCAGCCCTCGTCGTTCAACCATGAGAGCCAAGGTAACCTGTAAAACCTTTTTACCCAAGCACGATGCATTAGAAAATTCTATCCCTTTTGGCTTTTCTGTTTCTTTTTTCCACCAATCATAATCTGATGGGGTTTCTTTCGTCATCGAATTAGCTCATCGTTATCTTCGTTTCGATCTTGGGTGATTTTTACAGTGGAAGAAGAAGCGTATGAGAAGATTGAAGAGAAAGCGCCGAAAGATGAGACAGAGGTCTAAGTAGGATGAGGGGTTTTGTTCCATGAGGTCTTGCGATGGCCCTTTTGCGGCATGGTAGGATCTAGGTTTTTCTCAATCCAGTATTAGTTTTTGTTGTTCCTTTTAACTTAATCTGGTATAATCGGAACTTGTGCAAATCGGGTACCGGATGTTGCTTTTTTAGTAGTTGTTATTACTCTGGTTATATTTGATGTGGTGTGTTCGCATTTACTGATGAATACGAATTCCATAGGAACTGTTTTTCTCTTATAACGGTTCTCGATCTTATAACGGTTCTCGATCTCAATTCTTTACAATAAATTGACGATGTTATCTCTTTGACTTTGTATGGGTTCATCATGGCTCTCTTTAGAATGATTTAAACGCGTAGTCAGTGACGAGATTCTTACCGGCAAAACATGCAAATTAGCCCCTCAACTCGTCGTGCGGTGGCAAATTAAACCCTCAACTCAGTTCACGCGTAAAAGAACCCCTCAACTCGTCTTCAGTGGCAAATCAGCCCCTCTGTGTAGCCTGACGTCATCCATCCGTTAAATTTTAACGTTCCGCTTGTCAGGCTCTGTTTTGCATCTGACCTGGATATTTTTTTGCTGAGATATATGCTTTGTTGGATGCTTTGCTAGACTCTTGTGATTAATGTTTTAATTTACTTTTATGCGCTTTTTGTTTCGTCGAATATAATTGGGGATCTAGCGTTTTGTTTCGGTTGTAGCCTTTTGTAGTTATCTTCTTCCTCATCCAACCTCTTCAAATCTGCAACCACAACAGTAACTTTTTATTGAATCCGTTACCGATTGAAGCTCGAAGAAGAAAGATGTCGTCGACGCTGATCGAATTGGTGGCTAACCCATCAGATCCATCGAAACACCATGAAGAAACCTCCACCAAAATCAGGACTCTGGAAGCTCTGGCCTACGTCCGATCCGTGCATGAGTGTATAGCATACCAACGTGCTCTCGACCTGGATCTCGACAACCTCCTCTTGCAGCGTACGGACCTTGATAAGCACCTCCTTCACCTTCAACAATCTGTCGAGGTACTTGACATTGTCAAGGCCGACTCGAATCACACGTTGTCAAATGTGCACTCCACGTGTGACCTTGCCGACCAGGTTAGCAGAAAGCTTTGACTCGCATTAACTCTATGCTTCTCCGCGTCGACGCCATCTTCTCTTTCTCTCTCTTCCGTCCTTCCTAATGTTGCCTTCCGTTTTCTACTCCATCTTCTCCAGATCTTCCATCTCCCCTGCTCCTGTTCATCCTTGACCACTGCTTGCTCCCACGGGATCCCTTCCATTTTCCCCTTTAACTGTCCAACATATGGGTTAAGTCTGGGATTTAGGAGAAAAGACAAACATGAACTCTACCCTTAAAGCACTTTTATATGTTCCAATTTGAAAAAAAGTTTCTCAATTTCTCTAATTATCCCAAGCATTAGAAAATGTCATATGGTTTTTTTTTTTTTTTTTTTTTTGAAAATCTTCAAATGATTAAATACACGAAAATTGCAAATTTCATGGTTCCAAAATTGAATCAATATCTGGGCATTTCCTAGCATTGATTGACTTGAACAGAAATCAAGAATCAAAAACATAATTTTGTGCAGGAGAGAGTAGATATTTGGGGAAGAAGACAGAGGAGAGAGATGAGATGAGCGTAGGAATGAGAAATTTTGTGCCGGAGAAATTCTCCGTTAACTTATGTGTCTTTTCGGATGATGAAATGTCATTTTTTGCTGAGTTGTAATAATACTACTGGATGGGGATACCACTTTCTCGTCAAAAAGAAGTTGCTAGCAGCTGTGGATACAAACAAAAGGGCATAAAAGTAAATTAAAACATTAATCACACGGAGCCCAGCAAAGCATCCAACAAAGCATTTATTTTAGAAAAAAATATCCAGGTTAGATACAAAATAGCGCCTGACGAGTGAGACGTTAAAACTTAACCGGATGGATAACGGATGGATGACGTCAGGTTACACAGAGGGGCTGATTTGCCACTGAAATCGAGTTGAGGGGTTCTTTTGCGTGTGAACTGACTTGAGGGGTTAATCTGCCACCACACGACGAATTGAGGGGCTAATCTGCATGTTTTGCCATTCTTACCTGTGTTGTGGCAAAATAGATTACTCCATTAGGAGATGAATAACACAATGCATATTCTTATTCGGTAAAACCTCTGAACTTATTTCAGATTTTTAATTAAGTTTATAAATTTTTATTTAAGTAAATAAGTTATTGAATTTGTTGAAATTTGACGTAGTAATTTCATATTTGCATACAGACTCTAGAATTTGAGTTTTAGGGGTCTTCATTTCTTAGATATATAAATGTGAGGAGGTGACCATTTTGCATTGCACTTGTGGAAGAGAAGACCATTTCTTAGATATATAAATGTGAGGAGGTGACTATTTTGCATTGCACTTGTGGAAGAGAAGACCATTTTGCGTTTCCTTTTCGATTTTAGATCATCATTTTTATTTAGGTTTTTCTAAAAAATCCTAATTGATATAAAAAGATAGAATAATTAATATTTTATTACTCTTTTAACATGTGATTTATAAATATAAATTAAAAAATTCCTCTATTATCAAAGTGAAAAAACATCTAATTCAAAAGGAATAGACAATCCAAGTCATCTGTTCAACCTTGGTGAGATCTTCTACGACATGGACTGACTAACATGTGATCTAATTCACCAGATTTTGAACAAAGTTCGGTTAAGTTATAACTGTCCTTGATTGATGGAGAAAATAAAGGACAAGAAACCTCAGCGATTCAATCCGAATATACATAGATGCAGCGACAAATCCGGAGGTTAAGCAGAACATTCAGAAAAGAAAATGCTGAGTGAACAAGTTTACTGGACAACTAACTGTAGAGAGCGACAATGATCTACTGAGGATTGGGTGGACGGCTATTAGCAGCAGAGACCCTTGAGCCCCATTCCAAGAGCTCTTTGCTGGTATCATCCTTGTGAACTATCACCTCAATGAAGCACAGGGAGTCCTTCTTGGGTCCTGTTGCAGTCTCAATTGCTTTGATCAGCTCTTCCTCGGTATGGACCTGTAAAAAGAAGATAACAGCATTGGTTATGTAATCAGAGCCATTCTGTTTGAGAGGATTTGATGAGGTAAGTCAAATGAACCAAGCTCGAAATAAACTGAACACAGAACCAATAGCAACACTTGCAGTGTCAGAGCCTCTGCAAACCCCAAAGCCCAAGCCCTGAAGTAAAAAGATTCACTTCTACTCTACAGAACAATGTAGTCGCTATTTTCTTTGAAGATTATATTTAACCAATTGGGGAACATCAACTAGGTTAAATATTGAGAGAAAAAGGAGGCATTAAAAGCACATAAAAATATAGAAACTTAAAATCTTGCATTTACTTCCTTAAGAGCATTAATGTTCTTCCATACCAAGTGTAGACAGAAGTTAGAAATCAACAGAATACCTTGGCTGTCCAGCACTTCCCTTCACCATTATGAATTGCCTCCACAAAGCCAGTGTAGTTCCAGTTCTTGATCACATTGTATGGCCCATCATGAATCTCGACTTCAATGGTGTATCCACCATTGTTTATCAGGAAGATGATAGTCTTCTGCCCACATCTCAGCATTGTGGACACATCTTGTGCAGTCACCTAAAAGGAAATCACCAAGAAGGTTAAAAGCAGAATGGTAGTACACAATAACAGAGGAATAGCATTGTGAATGTACAAAAAGGTGCATACAACATATACACATCTCAGTAATTACAATGCTGGACAAAAAGGTTTACATCACTTACACATCCGTAGCAATTAAAGCAGAATGGCATTGTGAATATACAGCAGAATAGCATTGTGCAGCATATACACAGCTTGTAAAGCATATACACATCTCAACATTGTCAAAACAGCATTTAAAGATATACAGAGATTTCGCCTATATGGAATTACTTATAGCAAGGTTTACTGAGCATGACATGAAATGAATGAATCAAAGCATAATCCAATTGAAGGATATACCTGGAAACTACCATCACCAATGCAAGCAATGATACGCTTCTCTGGTACAGCTTGTGCATACCCAAGAGTGGCACCAACTGACCATCCAATTGATCCATACTGCATTTGGAACTCATAACTGCAAAACACAAATTCTTGTTGTTAGCTTCATGAACCTCAACTTGGACTAGAATTAGGATTTAAAATTTCTCCCGTAGTACTTACCCACATCCCTCAGGCAATTTCAGTTTCTGGCAGTTAAACCAAGAGTCCCCTGTCTCAGCAATTACAGCAGTTTCACCAGACAGCATCTTCTGTATATGCTGAAACATGACATTAACTCTCAAAGGCTCTTGAGGTGCAGATTTCAAAGGTTTTCCTTCAGGAACAAAAATCCTGTTATAATTCTCATAAGCAGTGGCGTTTCGTTTGATCCTCTTGGCCAATTCTCTGAGGAAATCCCTCATCAAGACACACCCAAATGTAGGACCATTAGCTATCACCACACGATCAGGCTGCACAATGATTGCCTTCTCTTTCTTGAGGAGCAGAGAGTACCCAACAGAGCTGTAATCATTGAAGATTGGTCCGGCGAACAAGTAAGCATCGGCGGACTCGACGATCTCGGCACAAAATGCAGTGCTGACCGCACCCCAATAGGTTCCAATGAAATGAGGGTGGTGCTCAGGGACCAGCCCCTTAGCCGATGGCATCACAGCAAGAGCATACCCAGAAGTATCAGCAAGCTCAACAAACTGTTCACATGCCTTTGCAACTCTCAGCTTAGGCCCACCCACCAAGACGGGTTTCACCGCCTTGTTCAAGAACTCCGCCGCCGCCTCCACCGCGGCCTCCAATCCCAACTTATTACTCAATCTGCAGTACCAAGAAAGAAACAAAACAACAAACCTCAAAATACAGAGGACGACCCCCAAAGAAAAAAGAACAGAAAACAAAAAATAGAGCATTAAGGAATTACTTAGGAGAGAGTGAGAACGGAACCGGCTCACAGCTAAAAGTAGGGTGAGGAATCGCCGGTAAGTTGCAGCTAATGCTGATATAAACAGGCTTGCTTTCCTTCAAAGAGGTTGAAATTGCAGTATCGATCAACTCATGAGCATCCTCCAAGTTATTCACCACAGCCTACCAAACACCGAGGATCGATTTCAAGAAACAAGCAAACAACATATCCTGTTTAGATCGCAAGAAAACGAGGGAAAATTACCTGATAGCAAGTGACGGTCTGGAAACACCTTAGCTCCTGGCTGAAATCAGGCAGCCCAATGGTGTGGTGAAGGATCCTGTTGGTCCCATAATCATTTGAGTTCGGTCCACCAACAATGCAAATCAGAGGAAGATTTTCACTGTAAGCCCCGGCGATCGCGTTAAGTACACTGAGTCCACCAACGGTGAAAGTGACAACACAGGCCCCGACTCCGCGGGATCGCGCATAACCATCGGCGGCGTACCCCGCATTCAGCTCGTTGCAGCAGCCGATGAGGTTAAGCCCCGGCTCAGCGAGCAGATGGTCGAGGAGGGTAAGATTGAAGTCCCCGGGCACAGAGAAAACATCATTGACGCCGATTTGAACAAGACGGCGAGCAAGGTGGCGACCGAGAGTGGCCTCGGGGGAGTTGAAGACGGTGGGTGAGACAGAACCATGGATGGCCGAAACAACGCCGTTTGGCGGGCAGCCGATGTCGCCGCTAGTAGGCTTGCAGACGTCGAGCGAACAAATCTTCGTATCCATGAGGAACAACCTTCTCAACTACAAAACCGCGACCCAAAAACGGATTTCCGACGAGAATTTCAAAGCGAAAACAGAGAAAATTTGCTGGTTTAATCGGAAATTTTATGGTGAGAGGAATTTATAGAGGGCGATTTATGAGTAGTTTTAGTATTTGCCGATACTGCGGGCGGTTTTATGAAGAAAGAAAG